CGCTGGTCCAGCCCCTTGGCATTGGTGTAGATACTCACGGCTCTATTCAAGTTAACAAGGCTGGCTCTCATTGTACCTACCTTGGCGTAGCTGTCAACGAGGTTGATTCGCGCCAGCAGCCGCTGGTCCAGCCCCTTGGCATTGGTGTAGATACTCACGGCGCTATTCAAGTTAACAAGGCTGGCTCTCATTGTACCTACCTTGGCGTAGCTGTCAACGAGGTTGATTCGCGCCAGCAGCCGCTGGTCCAGCCCCTTGGCATTGGTGTAGATACTCACGGCTCTATTCAAGTTAACAAGGCTGGCTCTCATTGTACCTACCTTGGCGTAGCTGTCAACGAGGTTGATTCGCGCCAGCAGCCGCTGGTCCAGCCCCTTGGCATTGGTGTAGATACTCACGGCTCTATTCAAGTTAACAAGGCTGGCTCTCATTGTACCTACCTTGGCGTAGCTGTCAACGAGGTTGATTCGCGCCAGCAGCCGCTGGTCCAGCCCCTTGGCATTGGTGTAGATACTCACGGCTCTATTCAAGTTAACAAGGCTGGCTCTCATTGTACCTACCTTGGCGTAGCTGTCAACGAGGTTGATTCGCGCCAGCAGCCGCTGGTCCAGCCCCTTGGCATTGGTGTAGATACTCACGGCTCTATTCAAGTCAACAAGGCTGGCTCTCATTGTACCTACCTTGGCGTAGCTGTCAACGAGGTTGATTCGCGCCAGCAGCCGCTGGTCCAGCCCCTTGGCATTGGTGTAGATACTCACGGCTCTATTCAAGTCAACAAGGCTGGCTCTCATTGTACCTACCTTGGCGTAGCTGTCAACGAGGTTGATTCGCGCCAGCAGCCGCTGGTCCAGCCCCTTGGCATTGGTGTAGATACTCACGGCTCTATTCAAGTTAACAAGGCTGGCTCTCATTGTACCTACCTTGGCGTAGCTGGCAACGAGGTTGATTCGCGCCAGCAGCCGCTGGTCCAGCCCCTTGGCATTGGTGTAGATACTCACGGCTCTATTCAAGTTAACAAGGCTGGCTCTCATTGTACCTACCTTGGCGTAGCTGTCAACGAGGTTGATTCGCGCCAGCAGCCGCTGGTCCAGCCCCTTGGCATTGGTGTAGATACTCACGGCTCTATTCAAGTTAACAAGGCTGGCTCTCATTGTACCTACCTTGGCGTAGCTGTCAACGAGGTTGATTCGCGCCAGCAGCCGCTGGTCCAGCCCCTTGGCATTGGTGTAGATACTCACGGCTCTATTCAAGTTAACAAGGCTGGCTCTCATTGTACCTACCTTGGCGTAGCTGTCAACGAGGTTGATTCGCGCCAGCAGCCGCTGGTCCAGCCCCTTGGCATTGGTGTAGATACTCACGGCGCTATTCAAGTTAACAAGGCTGGCTCTCATTGTACCTACCTTGGCGTAGCTGTCAACGAGGTTGATTCGCGCCAGCAGCCGCTGGTCCAGCCCCTTGGCATTGGTGTAGATACTCACGGCTCTATTCAAGTTAACAAGGCTGGCTCTCATTGTACCTACCTTGGCGTAGCTGTCAACGAGGTTGATTCGCGCCAGCAGCCGCTGGTCCAGCCCCTTGGCATTGGTGTAGATACTCACGGCTCTATTCAAGTTAACAAGGCTGGCTCTCATTGTACCTACCTTGGCGTAGCTGTCAACGAGGTTGATTCGCGCCAGCAGCCGCTGGTCCAGCCCCTTGGCATTGGTGTAGATACTCACGGCTCTATTCAAGTTAACAAGGCTGGCTCTCATTGTACCTACCTTGGCGTAGCTGTCAACGAGGTTGATTCGCGCCAGCAGCCGCTGGTCCAGCCCCTTGGCATTGGTGTAGATACTCACGGCTCTATTCAAGTCAACAAGGCTGGCTCTCATTGTACCTACCTTGGCGTAGCTGTCAACGAGGTTGATTCGCGCCAGCAGCCGCTGGTCCAGCCCCTTGGCATTGGTGTAGATACTCACGGCTCTATTCAAGTCAACAAGGCTGGCTCTCATTGTACCTACCTTGGCGTAGCTGTCAACGAGGTTGATTCGCGCCAGCAGCCGCTGGTCCAGCCCCTTGGCATTGGTGTAGATACTCACGGCTCTATTCAAGTTAACAAGGCTGGCTCTCATTGTACCTACCTTGGCGTAGCTGTCAACGAGGTTGATTCGCGCCAGCAGCCGCTGGTCCAGCCCCTTGGCATTGGTGTAGATACTCACGGCTCTATTCAAGTTAACAAGGCTGGCTCTCATTGTACCTACCTTGGCGTAGCTGTCAACGAGGTTGATTCGCGCCAGCAGCCGCTGGTCCAGCCCCTTGGCATTGGTGTAGATACTCACGGCTCTATTCAAGTTAACAAGGCTGGCTCTCATTGTACCTACCTTGGCGTAGCTGTCAACGAGGTTGATTCGCGCCAGCAGCCGCTGGTCCAGCCCCTTGGCATTGGTGTAGATACTCACGGCTCTATTCAAGTTAACAAGGCTGGCTCTCATTGTACCTACCTTGGCGTAGCTGTCAACGAGGTTGATTCGCGCCAGCAGCCGCTGGTCCAGCCCCTTGGCATTGGTGTAGATACTCACGGCGCTATTCAAGTTAACAAGGCTGGCTCTCATTGTACCTACCTTGGCGTAGCTGTCAACGAGGTTGATTCGCGCCAGCAGCCGCTGGTCCAGCCCCTTGGCATTGGTGTAGATACTCACGGCTCTATTCAAGTTAACAAGGCTGGCTCTCATTGTACCTACCTTGGCGTAGCTGTCAACGAGGTTGATTCGCGCCAGCAGCCGCTGGTCCAGCCCCTTGGCATTGGTGTAGATACTCACGGCTCTATTCAAGTTAACAAGGCTGGCTCTCATTGTACCTACCTTGGCGTAGCTGTCAACGAGGTTGATTCGCGCCAGCAGCCGCTGGTCCAGCCCCTTGGCATTGGTGTAGATACTCACGGCTCTATTCAAGTTAACAAGGCTGGCTCTCATTGTACCTACCTTGGCGTAGCTGTCAACGAGGTTGATTCGCGCCAGCAGCCGCTGGTCCAGCCCCTTGGCATTGGTGTAGATACTCACGGCTCTATTCAAGTCAACAAGGCTGGCTCTCATTGTACCTACCTTGGCGTAGCTGTCAACGAGGTTGATTCGCGCCAGCAGCCGCTGGTCCAGCCCCTTGGCATTGGTGTAGATACTCACGGCTCTATTCAAGTCAACAAGGCTGGCTCTCATTGTACCTACCTTGGCGTAGCTGTCAACGAGGTTGATTCGCGCCAGCAGCCGCTGGTCCAGCCCCTTGGCATTGGTGTAGATACTCACGGCTCTATTCAAGTTAACAAGGCTGGCTCTCATTGTACCTACCTTGGCGTAGCTGTCAACGAGGTTGATTCGCGCCAGCAGCCGCTGGTCCAGCCCCTTGGCATTGGTGTAGATACTCACGGCTCTATTCAAGTTAACAAGGCTGGCTCTCATTGTACCTACCTTGGCGTAGCTGTCAACGAGGTTGATTCGCGCCAGCAGCCGCTGGTCCAGCCCCTTGGCATTGGTGTAGATACTCACGGCTCTATTCAAGTTAACAAGGCTGGCTCTCATTGTACCTACCTTGGCGTAGCTGTCAACGAGGTTGATTCGCGCCAGCAGCCGCTGGTCCAGCCCCTTGGCATTGGTGTAGATACTCACGGCTCTATTCAAGTTAACAAGGCTGGCTCTCATTGTACCTACCTTGGCGTAGCTGTCAACGAGGTTGATTCGCGCCAGCAGCCGCTGGTCCAGCCCCTTGGCATTGGTGTAGATACTCACGGCGCTATTCAAGTTAACAAGGCTGGCTCTCATTGTACCTACCTTGGCGTAGCTGTCAACGAGGTTGATTCGCGCCAGCAGCCGCTGGTCCAGCCCCTTGGCATTGGTGTAGATACTCACGGCTCTATTCAAGTTAACAAGGCTGGCTCTCATTGTACCTACCTTGGCGTAGCTGTCAACGAGGTTGATTCGCGCCAGCAGCCGCTGGTCCAGCCCCTTGGCATTGGTGTAGATACTCACGGCTCTATTCAAGTCAACAAGGCTGGCTCTCATTGTACCTACCTTGGCGTAGCTGTCAACGAGGTTGATTCGCGCCAGCAGCCGCTGGTCCAGCCCCTTGGCATTGGTGTAGATACTCACGGCTCTATTCAAGTCAACAAGGCTGGCTCTCATTGTACCTACCTTGGCGTAGCTGTCAACGAGGTTGATTCGCGCCAGCAGCCGCTGGTCCAGCCCCTTGGCATTGGTGTAGATACTCACGGCTCTATTCAAGTTAACAAGGCTGGCTCTCATTGTACCTACCTTGGCGTAGCTGTCAACGAGGTTGATTCGCGCCAGCAGCCGCTGGTCCAGCCCCTTGGCATTGGTGTAGATACTCACGGCTCTATTCAAGTTACCAAGGCTGGCTCTCATTGTACCTACCTTGGCGTAGCTGTCAACGAGGTTGATTCGCGCCAGCAGCCGCTGGTCCAGCCCCTTGGCATTGGTGTAGATACTCACGGCTCTATTCAAGTTAACAAGGCTGGCTCTCATTGTACCTACCTTGGCGTAGCTGTCAACGAGGTTGATTCGCGCCAGCAGCCGCTGGTCCAGCCCCTTGGCATTGGTGTAGATACTCACGGCTCTATTCAAGTCAACAAGGCTGGCTCTCATTGTACCTACCTTGGCGTAGCTGTCAACGAGGTTGATTCGCGCCAGCAGCCGCTGGTCCAGCCCCTTGGCATTGGTGTAGATACTCACGGCTCTATTCAAGTCAACAAGGCTGGCTCTCATTGTACCTACCTTGGCGTAGCTGTCAACGAGGTTGATTCGCGCCAGCAGCCGCTGGTCCAGCCCCTTGGCATTGGTGTAGATACTCACGGCTCTATTCAAGTTAACAAGGCTGGCTCTCATTGTACCTACCTTGGCGTAGCTGTCAACGAGGTTGATTCGCGCCAGCAGCCGCTGGTCCAGCCCCTTGGCATTGGTGTAGATACTCACGGCTCTATTCAAGTTAACAAGGCTGGCTCTCATTGTACCTACCTTGGCGTAGCTGTCAACGAGGTTGATTCGCGCCAGCAGCCGCTGGTCCAGCCCCTTGCGCGCTGCTACCACCCTCTCCCACCGCGCGCTGCCATGCCATGCACGCATAGGAAGAGCGTGGAGGAGGAGCATGGGGGACAGGAGGGAGTGGCGCAGCGTAGTGGGGGTAGAACGGGGTATGAGGGGGAAGGCCATGCAAATTGCTGGTCCAGCCCCTTGCGAGCTGCCATGACATGCGTGCACAGGAGCAGTGTGGAGGAGGCATGGGGCAGCATGAGAGGGGTATGACGGGACAAACTACTGGTCCAGCCCCTTGCGCTCCACAACCTCTCTCCTACCACGCACTGCCACGCATAGGGGTAGAGTCGAGGGAGCATGGGGGGGGTGGGGAGGCAGCATGAGCGGGGTATGAGCGGGGTATGAGGGGGGAAAGTGCTGGTCCAGACCTTTGCGAGCCGCCACCTCTCTCTCTCCCCCTCGCACAGCCATGCTAAGAGGAGAGGGCGCGGGATTTTGGGGGGGGGGGGGGAGGGGGAAGGTAGGAGAAGTTAGGAGTGGGGCAGTGTAGGGATGACATGAGGCACCGGATCATATGATAGGAATATGATGAGGCAGCATGGGACGATGAGAAGAGCGAGTGCAAAGCGCCTGATCGGGACCCAGTCAGTGAATGGGATGGGTTAATGCTATCATAATTGCAGCCTGGGCTGAGACAGCACCGGCCTGGTACACCTGTACGTGGCGTGGCACACCTGTAGGTGACGTGGCACACCTGCAGGTGACGTGGCACACCTGTAGATGACATGGCACACCTGTAGGTGGACGGCTGGCCGATGGACTGCATCTTGTTCTGCAGCTGACACATGCGCGCTAGCATGCGCACCTGGTGTGCACACCCATGCATGCATGCAAGTATGATGTACGCACGCATGCGCGCACACATACACATGCATCCACACATGCAGACAAGCACACAGAGATGAGGGCGTGTGGGGCATGCAGCATTGGCTCCAGCGAGCTTGCAAGTGGCCCATTCATTGATATAGACGGAGTACACGCATGCAGGAGATATAAGATTCACGCTTTACGCAACAGTCCAGGCCTCAACTTCCTACTCGGCTAGCCTAGCCACCATCCCGCGAACCCTGCTGCAGCGGACTCACCTCCTCAGCTGCAGCAGCAGAGAGCGCCTCTAGCCTCTGCCTCAACGCCGCATGCTGCTCCAACAGCTGCTGCCGCACTGCCATGCCATCCACCACGCTGCCTGGCAGCTGGAGGGAGCAAGAGGTATAGGGAGAAATACAGGGGGAGAGGGGGACAGGGCAGGAAGATTAGAATGTATGAGCTCGATAGTGCATGCGCCAACAGCTCGATAGAGCATGCGCCAACAGCTCGATAGTGCATGCGCCAACAGCTCGATAGTGCATGCGCCAACAGCTGCTGCTGCTGCTGCTGCACTGCCATTGCCATCCACCACACTGCCAGGCAACTGGGGAGAGAAGACACAACGTAAGAACTAGGTGCAGGGAGGTGAACAGATGCAGGGGGTCTAAGCGCGACCGCCTGCACAAAAGCAAACACTGCGTATACGCGGGCGGTGCAGCGTATGAGCGGGCGGTGCAGCGTATGAGCGGGCGGTGCAGCGTATGAGCGTGCGGTGCAGCGTATGAGCGGGCGGTGCAGCGTATGAGCGTGTGGTGCAGCGTATGAGCGGGCGGTGCAGCGTATGAGCAGGCGGTGCAGCGTATGAGCGGGCGGTGCAGCGCATGAGCAGGCGGTGCAGCGTATGAGCGGGCGGTGCAGCGTATGAGCGGGCGGTGCAGCGTATGAGCGGGCGGTGCAGCGTATGAGCGGGTGGTGCAGCATAGGAGCGGGCGATGCAGCGTATGAGCGGGTGGTGCAGCGTATGAGCGGGCGGTGCAGCGTAGGAGCGGGCGGTGCAGCGTATGAGCGGGCGGTGCAGCGTATGAGCGGCCGGTGCAGCGTATGAGCAGGCGGTGCAGCGTATGAGCGTGCTATACCAGGAATGCTACTGCTACACAGCTGCTGCTACACTGCCTTGCCATCTCCGGGAGCCCTACCTCTCTTAGCTTCCGCAGGTTCACAAAGTTGTGGGCCCCCCCAGCCGCACCACCCACCCCAGTTAAGTTGGAATTCGCTTGTAGAAAAAAAGTACGTCTACAGAACAACTGACATACCTCTCTTAGCTTCGGCAGGAGCAGAAAGTTGTAAGCTCCCCCTGTTGCTGCACCACCAGCAGCCACCCACCCCACCACAATCCCCATCGTCCCATCTGTGATCGCGTTTGGCTCCATTATCCCCATGCTCACTGCTGCCGCCCCCACCACGTTCGCTGCCACCAGTGCGCCGCCCAGAGGCAGCACCCAGGGCGGCAGCGACAGGCTGCCGCTGTCTCTAGTGGCCTTGGGCGGCGCGCGCAGCAACGCCAGCGTCTGCCTCGTCACGTGATTGGTCAGCGCCATGGGTTCACTCGGATTCCACCCCGGGGTTCTATTCGCCGGCGCCGGAAATATCCCCGCTATTTTCCGCTTAGAGGCGGAAGCTTTTCGAGAAGAGGACGAGGAGGAAGACGAGGGGAGGGAGGAGGAGAGGGAGGAGGCGAGGGAGGAGGAGAAGGAGGGGGCGGCGCAGGCGATGGTGATTCGCTCCCCCGACTGGGCGGGCACGGAGGGGGTGACGGTGGCAAAGGTGTTGATCTGCGATGTGCCGTCTGGTGCTTTGAGCACCACACTGTGCACTGCTACTGGTGGGTCTCCCCTCTTGATGCGCACCAAGCGAAGCACCTTGTCCAAGATGGGGGCAGAGTCGCTGGTGGGGGGTGGAGGGGCGAGGGCAAGGTAAGGGGAGAAAATGGAGGGTGTGAGAAGGAGCGGGCACGGAGGGGGTGACGGTGGCGAAGGTGTTTGATATGTGATGTGCCGTCTGGTGCCTTGAGAGCACCACGCTGTGCACCGCTGCTGCTGGATCTCCCGACTTTATGCGCACAAAGCGGAGCACCTTGTCTAGTATGGGGGCAGAGTCACTGGTGGGAGGGGGGAGTGAACAGGGTGGAGGAACAGGGGTAAGGGGAGAAAATGGAGGGTGTGAGACTGAGAAAATGGAGGGTGTGAGACTAAATGGAAGGATGAAGGGATCGGAGGCAGGGAAACAAGAAATGTGCTTTGGGCACCGCTGCTGGTGACCCGCTTGATGCGCACAAAGTGAAGGACCTTGTCTAGTGTGGGGGCAGAGTCGCTGGTTATGGGGTGGAGGGATGGGGAGCAGAGGAAGGAGAGGAGATTTGAGCACCAAGCTGTGCTCCGCTGCTGGTAGGTCTCCTCGATTGATGCACACAACGCGAAGGACCTTGTCTAGGTTGGGGGCAGAATGCATGGAGGGGTGGAGGAATGGGAGGCAAGGGAAGAAGGAAGGGGCCTTGAGCAGCACACTACAGTGCGCAATGCTGCTGGTGGGGGCCGACGCGCTTGATGTGAATGAGGTGAAGGACTTCCTCTAGTAAGGGGGCAGAGTCACTGGTTATGGGGTGGAGGGATGGGGGGGGAAGAAGAGAGGGGCCTTGAGAAGCACACTACACTGTGCATTGGTGCTGCTGGGTGGCCCCACTTGATGCGCACGAGGCTAAGGGCCTTGTCCAGTGCGGGCGCAGAGTCACTGGTAGGGATGGAGGGATGGGGGCAGGGGAAGTAGAGAGTGACTTAGAATCACAAAAGATGAGCTCCCCTTGCACATGCCTTTACTCGTACTTGCATCCACATGCATGTATGTATATGAGCATATACATGTCACAGTAAGATTAAAACACATATATACGTGGGTTAACGCTCACATGAGGGACTCAGAGTCGCAGGAGGTGAGGTCTTTATGCACCAACTCGCACTCGTACTTGCACCCACATGCATGCATGCTGATGAGCATATTCATGTATTACATGGATGCATATCGCTCACATGAGGGACTCAGAGTCGCAGGAGGTGAGGTCTTTATGCACCAACTCGCACTCGTACTTGCACCCACATGCATGCATGCTGATGAGCATATTCATGTGTTACATGGATGCATATCGCTCACATGAGGGACTCAGAGTCGCAGGAGGTGAGGTCTTTATGCACCAACTCGCACTCGTACTTGCACCCACATGCATGCATGCTGATGAGCATATTCATGTATTACATGGATGCATATCGCTCACATGAGGGACTCAGAGTCGCAGGAGGTGAGGTCTTTATGCACCAACTCGCACTCGTACTTGCACCCACATGCATGCATGCTGATGAGCATATTCATGTGTTACATGGATGCATATCGCTCACATGAGGGACTCAGAGTCGCAGGAGAAGATGAGGTCCCCACCCCAGACACCAGCTCGTACTCGTACTTGCACCATTGTGCCACACAGATGCACAATACGTGTACAGCATGCATGCATATACCATATCGCTCACATAAGAGACTCTGAGTCGCAGGAGATGAGGTCCCCTGACACCAGCTCGTACTCGTACTTGCATCCTGCACACCCCACCACCTGGGACAGACAGCAGGGCAACAAATCGCACACATGGGAATAGGGACAGCGGCAGAGCGCCAAACAGGAGTACGAGTGAGGGCGGTTGGAGGGAGCGGCACGCAAAGGTCTAGTCAAGGCTATAAGATTAGGGCCGAGAGTCCAAAAGGCGAAGGGAAGCAAAGCTAAGGGCGTGGAAGAAACCAGAGGTTATGATACCAAAGAACCAGATTACATACAGCATGGGAGAAACGGCGCAGGGAGCGATGGCAACAGCCAGGCCACGGGGCCTCACCTGCCGGCCTTGCTGTGGCTGCACCACAGAAAAGGCCTTGCGACACGTGGGGCAGTCCACCGTCACTCCAAAGGACACCTGTACGCAAGGGACGGACGCAGAGGCACGAACCACTTGATGGGCGTGACTGTTGGGCTGACTCGTTAGAGCATCACAGTGAAGAGAATGCCTTGCGGCACGTGGGGCCTACCGAATGTTTTGTCCCCCATTCTCCCCTTCGCGTCTCTGTTTTCCTGCTCTCATTGCTCTGTCCCTTTCAGGACCGCCCCACCGCAACTAACGGCTGTTGCTTCCCCACTTTCTCCCTTCCCCCTTTCCCCCCTCCCCATTTCCCCCTTTTCCCCTTCCCTTTCACCACCTTAATCCCCACCTCCACCCTTTTCACCCCAACTCACCTCTCGGTCCCCCTCGGGCACGCCCCGCCGCTGCACCTCCCCCACCAGCGCCACGGCGTCCGCCACTCGCAGCAGCGCCGCCAGCCCCCTCACCATCGCCGCGTACAGGCGCACACCCACCGCGGGCCACACGCGCGCACGCGCTGCAGGGAATGGGGAGGGGAGAGAGGGGGATGGGGAAGCAGTGGCATCCGCCACTCTCGGCAGCGCCACAAGCCCCCTCACGCGCGCACGCGCTGACGGCAGCGGGGGGATGATGGGAGACGGGGGCACAGGGGAAGATGCGAGTGGGGGGGACGAGGAGGGGGAGATGACGATGCAGCAGCATCCGCCAATGCCAGCACCACAGCAGGAGGGGGAGATGACGATGCAGACAGCAGCGCTGATGTCTAATCGTACCGTCAATGTCCTTAATACTAATCTGTCATCCTCTAACGTACTGCCGCACCTGCCCCGGGCGCGCCCGCATTGAGCGCCAAAGCGGACGTCTTGCACGCATTCAGCAGCGAATAGCTGAGTGCCACGTTGCCCGCCGCCAGGCTCCCCTCCATCAGCCATGCCACGTCACGCCGAGAAAATCTTTCCACCTTCCCCGCACTCCCTTCCCCTGCGCCAGCGCCTCCCCCCCTCGGCCGTTGCCCCGAGCCCTGCGCTCTGCTAGCACCTGCCGCTCCCCCTTTCCCTTGCGCCTCCGCCGATCTCCCCTGACCTTGCGCTCCCTCCGCATTTCCCCTCGCCGTTTCCGCCTTCTTCTCCTTCTCACCCCCCAACAGACTCCCCAACCCGCTGAACCATCCCCCGCCCGCCTTCTTCTTCTCTTCCGCGGCGGCTGCTGCTGCTGCTGCCGCCGCTGCCGCCGCCGCCGCTTCCGCCTCCGCCTTTGCCGCAGCGGTGGAAGCAGCTTCCGCCGCTGCTGCTTCCGCCGCGGCGAGCGCCGCCGCTCCGCCCGCCTCCCCGCGCAACGCTGCCAGCTTGCCCAGAAGCAGCTCCGCCAAGGTATCCGCCTCCTCCACTTCCGCCAACCACCTGCTGACGTCACGATCGTCTCCTAATCTTTCCGCCAGGGATGGTAACCGCTGGCGAGATTTCGTTTGCGATTCCCTTTCATCGCCTTGCGCGTCCTCCATATCCGTCTCATCGTCATAGTCATCGTCGTCGTCTGTAGACTCTACACTGGAACTTAATCCGAGCGCGCTTTCTGCGGCTCTTAATAAACGCGTCGATTCCTTCTCCTCTACCAAAGTTGCGGCCATAGCGGAATCGGCTAATTTAACTCCATCTTTATCACTCGCGTTGCCGCTTAATCTGGACCGAATGCCACCTGAAGCTACATCCCCTTCATCAAATCGATTGACTCTGCATGCAGCTCTGCGAAACGCTGCAGTGTTACTCGTCACTGGTGGCACGTGTCTCAAGCCATGATGGCGAGGAAGGCTACTCCGTGGGCTCTGAACGCTGGCCTGCGCAACCTCGGGCTCTCCGCGAAGAGCTTGAGTAGGCGCCAGCGGCAGGGACGCGCTCGCGCGAATAGCCGACATTGTTATGCTACGGCCGCGGCCTCGCGAGCTTACTAAAGCCTGGTTCTAAGCACCGAGGAGCTTGCCTGACGAAGAAATTGTAAATGGGAGCACGGGAACCGGTTGAATGGAGCAAGTATCTGAAAATCCCAGGGAAGCGGATGAGCCATGCCGAAGCAGCATGGCGGTGAATGGCCAAGCGGAAGGCGCATGGTGAGGGGGGGGAAGCAGCGAGGTGCGGGTACGGATGAGCTCCAGGGATTCGCGTGACATTCCCAGGTTCTGATTGGTTTAGAAGGGCGGGCAGGCGCAGAATGACAGAAATTGCGCGGGCGTAGGGGAATGGGCGACGGAAATTCTGGTGCTGTGGCTGGGGGAGCTTCTGTTCAACACTTGACCGGACCGGGCAGAAAATGGATTTGCCTTGCTGGAAAGGCGAGACTGTGAAGTTATGGTCCAATCAAAGGCAGCGACCAAAATTTCTGGTGACCCCGGTTCTCGCTCAGGAGTGGCAGAAGCTGATCTTCAAGCTTCTGACACGCGCCAGATAGCATTCCCCTGGTCGAGGTCGACGACGTGTAACCCGAATCCAGCGAGCAGCTCCGCGAATTCGCAACTCCCGTGAGCTAAACCTAGAGCAAATCGTCACGAACACGCGCTCTCCCTTCTTTCCTCCCGTCTCTCACGCTTATTGTTACTATTTTTTCATGACCTCCGGATTACTTGAAGCCCATTCTCCTGGTCGTTTCAGCAACCGCTCTCCAGCTCCACGCTCCGTCGTCTTTAACGTCTGCGTTAGTCTTGTTCGCATTCCACATTAGTAGTAGGCCGTCCTGCATGAGTCGGATTCCGTGACTTTAAGAAAAAAAATATTGAGCCTTAGGACGTACTAGCTTCAGAACGCCTGCAATCCGATGGTTGTTGTAAGTTGTATTCCTTTGTCAGCTTTTAGTTCAATCCGGACTAGTCTAGGACTCGTCAATATGCTCTGTACCAAAAATCACTCACGAACCTTGGGAGCAGCTTGTCTCTGTTAGCCCTTCTTTCCGTCCTACTGCAAGTTTGCTTCTTGATTCCGTGACACTATCCGTCATCGATGTTCGCTTCTCCACTAGAATAAAACGTCGCATACGCTCTCTCAAAAACGTGCACATTCCGCACGCGCGTCTTCCCCTTGTTACAGGACAATTACGTTTACACGCCGTTGAGCGACGTTCCTGCAGCAGCCGGGCAGAAGGTCAATGTCTTCGGCGTCGTGGTTCTCGCAGACAACATCCGGCATTCCCAAGGGACTGGTACTCGTTCTCCAAGTTTTACGAATCTCGTCTCAATCTTGTTCACGCAACATTCTTGTCGCTCGATTTCTCCCTCCCTCCCCTCCTCCACGTCTGATTTCCATTCTGATTTCGCAGCGCCGGTTTCGTTTCCGTGAAGCTCGTGTTTTCCTAACTCGCGCGTGCATTATCTTTGCAGATTTCTATTGCACGCTACTTCTGGCGGACACCACGTGCCACAGCCCTGGCTATGCCGTCAACCTCTTTGCTCCACGAGCTGATCAACTGCCGCAAGTTGCCAATGTCGGCGACATTATTCGAATCCACAGAGTGATGGTCAGTAGCTGTAAAAAAAAACGCGTCAACAGCAGACTGATGGTCGGAAACTTGGCATTATGTACTAATTGCATTCACAAACTGATGGTTGGAATGATTCCAGGATCACACGAGTGTTACTGTCGAATTCTTTATCCTTTTCCTTCCAACCCGTGTTCCATCAACCCTTGGATGATCAATCCTGTGTTTCTGCGATTTCAACGTCCCCTTTCTTAGAATTGACACCCTCATTATGAACCTCATCCGCTGTACGTTGCTTGCTGCCTTACCCCTGCTATCCCATGCAGAGCACGGTGATCCACAGCGGTCCTCTGGGCACGGCGCGCACAGGTCTGGGCAGCGCCCACGCTCTCTTCTCAGGGACGCCAGGGTCGTCCCTGCAGCCCTACTCCTTCTCGCACAATACCTGCCGGCCTCTCTCCCCCGGCCACAAGCAGCTCGTGCAACAGCTCCGACTCTGGGCGCACGGTTTCCCTTTCCTCATCCGTAAGCTGGCTGGGTTGGAGGGGAGATGAGGGGGGAAGGTTGTGGGATATGAGGAACAAGGAAGTTGGTCGGTTATGGACTGGAAAGCACAGCATTCCTTCAAGATTGGATGGCATTTCGTCTGGGGAAGAAGAGCTTATTTGTGTTTCTTCCTGACTCCCTTTCATACATTCCCCTCTATGGCATCTGTCAGGCCCACCCACAGCACCGGAGCCTTTGCTCACAATCAGCAGCATCGATGCGGACATTGCCTTTGACCTCTGCGTGCAGGTCAGTCAGCCTGCTAACTGTCATGGTTACTCTGCTCATGGTTCTCTTATTTTGTTCAAGATGAATAATCTCGTTGTATCACCTTCCAGTTTGGCTTTTCCTTGGCCACCCTTGCCGCGACAGCATGAACATCTTTGCCTCGCCGCCTTGGGAGCTGTGTGTGTGTGTTTGTGTGTGTGCGCGCGCGCGTGTGTGTGGGGGCTGTGCATGTGCGTACGTGCGTGCGAGCGTGCGTGTGTGCATGCCTGTGTGCATGCAGGTGTGGCACATAGTAAAGAAGGATCGAATGGTGGTGCTCTTCGTCTGGGACGGCACCGACCTCCCGCTCCCGTCGCTTTCTGCGTGAGTCGTGTTACCTTCTCTCTGCCTTCCTTCCGCTCATTCCACCTTTCTCTTCGCCTCCTTCTCACGCATGTTGAAATGTTCATCTCTTGTCTCTGCCTTTCCATTGCCAGGTCCTTTCATCACCTTTCATATTAACCAGACGGGTTTCTCCTTCCCATTAATCATTCATAACTCAATCATGAGCCGTCCATGCTACACTCCACTTATTCTCTCTTCTGCTGTCACTTCCCCTCTTGCCTTGTGCAGGCCGGCAGCACCAATCCCCTCCAGCCATTCCCCCCATCAAGGCCAACCATTCAGTGCCCCCGACTCCTCCACCACACCATCCGCGCCCTCCAGCTCATCCGTACCCCAACCCGCACCCACTAGGCCGCCCACATCAACTCCTGCTTCAGAATCGGCGCGCGCCGGGGAGCACCCTCTCTTCGCCATTGGAGGTCGCCCCGCGCCTCCTCTCTCTGTGCTCCGACGTGTTCCCCCTCTGGGCTCCCTGTTGCCTGTTATGTGCCACGTGGACGATCTTCACTGGCTGCTGCACCGTCTGCACCCCTCTGTAGCAAAGGCGTTGGAAGGGGAGGGAGGAGGGGGGCCAGCCAGGGCGGGGCACGAGGGGGAAGGGGGGGGCAGAGGTGAAGGGGGAGAGAGGGGTGGGGAGGGTGAGAGGACAGAGCGAGGCCAGAATGGGGGCCAGGGAGCGGTAGGGGGAGGGGCAGCAGAGGGGAGTGAGAGCCGACAAGATGGGGAGGGCGGGGAGGAAGGAGAGGAGGGGAGGGTGGCGGGAGTGTGGCAGCAGGAGGGGGTGGTGCCGTGTTGGGTGCGGCTTAGGAATATCAGAGCCACGTGCCATGGCGCCAGAGGGGACTGGCTGGGCCTTTTCAACAACTCCAGCCGCCTGAGTCTTGTCAGGGAGTGCTACTCGGACGTTGCAGAGCTGACAAGGTAACGCTCATGTTACCGCCCTGCTCACCATTCATTGGTTTCAAAGAATGAAAAGCCACATAGACGTAGTTCTGCCTGTGCTCCTAGCGGATTCAATCCCCTTGTTACACGTAATGGCAAGAACGCTTAGAGGGGTTTTTGGGGGCACTTGGAGAATCGTCTCATTGCATTGCTGCCATTCTCCTTGTTGCGCCCACAGCAAGTATGCGGAGAGGGCAGCGAGTGAGGACGCACACACTCGGATAGGCAACATGGCTCTGTGGGCCTCCATCCACCAGCACACACGTCAGTCCATCCATTGCCCTCACTCCCACACACATGTCAGCCCATTCACCTCCGCTCACCTCTTACCCGCCCAACCAACCCACTTTCGTTTTCCTCTCTGGGCCTCTATTTATTAGAGCACACACACATCAATGCATCACCCATCTTCCCTCATTCCTGCTGCTCTTCGTTTTGTCTGTAATTTTGCTGACATGTATTTGTCCCACGATTTATCAGCCCCACTCCACCACCTTTGCATCAAGCTGTCAACGTCCATCTCTGTCCTCTGCTGTGCCCTCCTCTGTGCCCTCCTCTGTACCCTCCTCTGTGCCCTCCTCTGTGCCCTCCTCTGTACCCTCCTCTGTACCCTCCTCTGTGCCCTCCTCTGTGCCCTCCTCTGATCCCTCTCCTGCGCCCCACTGTTTGACACCAGGCATCGCCCGTTCCCTGCAGCCCTACTCCACCCTTCGCCAGATATACACCCATCCTGTGGTGAGTGAGTGGTAACCCGCACCATGCACCAGTATGAGAGAGAGGAGAGTGAGAAAGGGTAAAAGGGAGATGGGGGAGAGTGAGACAGGGGAGAGTGAGACAGGGGATATGTTGCCGCTTCTTATGGCTCATACCTTCTCCTCCTTCCTGTTACACCTTGCACTCCCCTTTCTCCTCTGTCTTCCTTATCACACCAGGTGCCATATCTTATCTTGCCGTTTCTCCACTGTGTCTTGTTGTCCGGCTTCCCCCCCACCCCACACCAGGTGCCGTACCGCTTCCGCTGTGCAGCGAGAGTGATCTTCGCCTCTGCCATCCACCCCGCCCGCTTCACTGCCCTCGTCCCGCACAAGCCTCGCTCCCTCTCCTCCACTCCTGCCCCCCCACGCTCCTCCACCTCCATACCTCCGCGCTCCTCCACTCCTCCAGCTGCTGCAGCCACATCTGCTGGTGCTGGTGCTAATGCTGATGCCTGTACTGGTGGTGATGCAACGGAGGGGAGGGTGGATGGAGAAGGGAAGGGGAAACGGATAGGAGAGGAGGACGTGGAAGGGGTGCGTGGGAAGAAGCGCAAGGGAGTGGTTCATGCTGACGTGGCAAGGAAGGATGGTGCTGACGTGGCGAGGCAGGAGGAGGCTGATGTGTCGCCACAGGAAGACTCTGAGGCTGATGTGGCAAGGGAAGGAGTGGGGAAGAGGGTGGAAGAGGGGGAATCAGGTGGTTTGGGGAAAGCAGCAGAGACAGCTGAGACATCTGAGGGAGTGGGGAGAGCAGCATCGGGAAAGGAAGGGCCATCAGGAAAATCAGGTTCTGGGGTGAAGAGGAAGTGGGCGGCAGGGTTTGTCCTGGTGCTGGAGGATGCCACAGGGCGGCTACTCGTCCGCCTCGCCTCACCCAATGCCGTAAGGAACCTCCGATTTTCCATGTCCAATCTTGGGGTACAAAGTTGCACCTTGCTCCTCGTTCGTGCTGTACAACCTAGTATTTGCAATCAAACAGCCCTGACTTTCTGCCTGGCTGCCAGTTGCTTAGCACACCTCCAACCCAAACATCTTCGTCATGGACTTTCATTGCTCATGCACTCCTTGATTTTCACCTTGACTCGCAATCGCTCCTCTTGGCCTTCTTGAAGGTCTGGCTTCCAGCGACCCCAATAGTTTTGAAGTCAAGGACATGTTTCAAACTCCTTGCCTTGTCTTGCCTTGTCTCTTGTCTGGTGTGCCTTTCTTCCTTTCCCACCCCCAATCAGGAGGTGTTCTTTTCAGCAACAGCAGAGGAGTTGCGCAAGGATGCAGCGGTGTCTGTGAGGGCAGCTGCAGGCATGGCTATGCTGCTGGGTGTGCCCAGAGACCACGGGCAGGATACAGGAGTTGAGTATGGACAGCAAGCACATGCAGGGGTTGAACGGGATGCTGTGCATGAGAATGAAGATGCACGGGTGGAAAGGGAAGCACGTAGTCCGCCGTCGATTGACTGTTGTGTGTTCTCGTACCACCATGTGAGGAAAGGTGGACTGTCGAAAGAGAAGATGTTCCAGATCTTCCAGACTCGGTTGTTGACCCAACACGATGGTGCATGACGTGCTATTTTGAGAGTAACCCTTAGCATACATGCAGCCTCTATCCAGGCTTTCCAAAAAGCAAGAATCCCTGCTTGCAATCACGATTCTTTCCAAGCCCTTTAGCTCCTCACACTGTTCGTTACAGAGTGGAATCTGTCATCTGTACAAACAGTGGAAGTGCATAATCATTTTAAAGCGGCAGTATACATTTGACAACGGGGTTCAGGGTTTTACAGTGTGCCCCACAATTTCGCCCCCACCATGTACCATTTATAAACTTTTGGCACTCTCCCTGCCAAGTGTACTATCAGCAGTACACTGAAACCAAATGCCCCCCTCCTACCCTCATCGCTTCGACCTCCATCAGATCTTTCGCTCTCCCAAGCTGTTGAGAGGATTTCCGCCTTGAAATTGTCTGCTTGGCCTTGGGATCTCAGCTCATCACCACCCGACCACTCTTCGCCGTAGACATTGGTGGGAATCTCAGGTTTCGTAGGTCGGAGATTAGGATCTAGGTCGTCCGCACCCTCTGACACACTGCGCATATTGAGCGGCTCGACGGTTGCGAAAGCGACGATGGCGCCGCGCGTGTTTTGCCTGCTGGCCGTGATCGCGATCTCGCTGGTGGGATGCCTCGCATTCTCGGAGGAGCGTCCGACGGATCAGCGCATCCTCGTACTGCTGGACGACCTCAAGAATAAGGACTCATATTCGATCTTCTTTAAGAACCTCGCAGGTAATTACGCGCGTCGCAGATGGTCACGAATCATGGAGGTCGTTTGCGATTTGCAGGAGATTCACAGATTTTCCAAGGGGCCGTTTTCTTGAAGAGCTTCCACTCATTTAGGATATTAATGATTTCTTCTGTTGGTATTGAGGCGTTCGCATTCACCTTACAGGTACGGATTGCGCTAGATCTTGAGTCTCCGCATTACAACAGCATGTTTTGCAGATTGAGAGTCGTAAAGTTCCTTTTTTTTGCCGCAGAACGAGCATACGGTGACAGCCCCGTAGCATGTGAGGCTGAACATAGCTGACCAACAAATCGGCGACACTGACACAGCTTCCTGAATCGCCGACACTGATATAGCAATAGCTTGCTGTGTTCAGGCACTAACATAGCTTACTAAATTGGCGACACCGCATTACCTGTATCCGCGACACTGACACAGCTTACTGAATAGGCGACACTGACAAATGTGACCGACAAGTGACAAATGCGACACCGACATTGACAATCATTCACATAATCTGCCCGTCATCTTTCAAGATCTGGCCGCCCATTGCGATGCGATCCCGATCGGCCAGTCTCATATCCACTAATGCGCCATCTCCCCACTCATCTTACTGAATCTAGCATTCACGACGATCCCATCTCGCGTCCTGTCGGCTTGTAGCTTTCCGCTGACGTCACCATCACTCGCTGCCAGTGCCTCATTTGAAACCTCCTCTTCTAATTCTCCCCTTCCCCCCTTTTTCCCCGACTCTCCCCTCTCTACGTCCTGGTCCTCCGTTCTCCGCAGATCGCGGGTACGAATTGGATTTCCGCGCGGCGAGGGATTCGAGTCTCGTGCTGCAGAAGTACGGCGAGTACCTCTACGACGCCGCCATCATCCTCGCGCCCAAAGTCTCCTGTACGTGTTATTTTCTACCTGTAAATCTGGAATGGCGCTCCAAGAGTGCCTCTACCACGTCGTTATCATCCTCTACAGCACGCCGTACACGCTGCTTCTCCTCCCTCGTCTCCTCTTGCTCTAACCGGCCCGAAATTCATAATGCATCGATCCTTGACTTCGTGGACTCGGGCCACGACCTCATCCTCGCTGTTTCCTCCTTTATCTCCACCCCTTCTCCCACCGTCCCCGTGCTCATTGTTTTCGTGCTCCCGTTTCCCCGTGCCCCCCATGTTCCAGCGTTCGGCGGCGTGGTGGACGTGGCGGCGATCCTCGACTTCGTTGACTCGGGCCACGACCTCATCCTCGCGGCGGACAGCGGCGCGTCCGACACCATCCGCGATATCGCGCTCGAGTGCGGCGTGGATCTCGACGAGGTACGTGCTCTCGCCCTCTCATGCCTCTGACTGACTCCATCCGCAATATTGCGTTGGTTTGTGGTGTAGTTTGCGGTGGGGACGAGGTATGTGCGGACGTGCCTCATGCTTCCATTCGATTCCATCCGCGATGTTGCCTACTACGATTCCATAACCCCAAGGGCGTGGTGATCGACCACCAGCAGCTTCCTCACGCATCATTGCAATGCGAATCTACCTCTGCTCTTTCCCGCCCATTCATTCTCTGCGACCGCAGAACCCCAAGGGCGTGGTGATCGACCACCAGCAGTACGCGCGGGTGAGCGGGCGCAGGGACGACCACACGCTCGTGCTGGGCAGCAACCTCGTCAACTCCTCAGTCATCCTCGGCGCTGCTCCCATCAAGGTATGCTGGAATAGCTACCCTAATTCCGTTGGAACTATGTAAAGGTGGCTCGTATGCAGCTGATTGTTTCCTCCAATTTCTCTTGGTGCATATTCGTCTCTTTTGCAAGCGAATGGGATCGGGCTTTGCGGTTTTTGTTGTTCCTCTCCTCCGCCTTCACCCCTCTGCACCACTCTTTCGTCCTCTGCATTCCCACCCTTGGCATGGCTGCATCACAGGGCCCCGTGCTCTTCCAGGGGATCGCCATGACAGTCTCGCCCACGTCTGAGCTGGTATGCCGTCGCTCCACACATCCTTTTAGCAATCCAACACCCTGCATTTCCTCCCTCCCGTGTCCCGTGGCTCATTTGCATGGTATCCCTGTATGCCTCTGCTCTATTCAACCTCAGAGACGCACTGCACTCTCCATGGCTGCATTGCTCCTATACTGCTTACCCCTCTCTTTCCTCGTGCTTTTTTTAGTCGACTGTATGATGGGATACCTTCTCTTTTCTCCCCTTCCCCACCATCACGCCATCATGCGTCAGGTAGCGCTCGTGCTGTCTGGTTCTCCCACAGCCTACGCATAGGACCCAACTGCTGCTATCAAGCACCACAATGCTCCCTTCGTTTCTCGAGAGATTCTTACTGAAAACGCCCTCCCCGTCCCTTTTCCGCCTCCTCTCCCTGTCCCTTCTCCCCTCCTCCGCCTGTCCCTTCCCCCTCCCCCCATGCGCCATCAGGTGGTGCCGGTGCTGTCCGGCTCCCCCACGGCCTACGCAGCGGACCCAGCAGCAGCTCTCAAGGAGCCCCCCGCGCTCATTTTGAGACATTCTTACCGAATATTCCCCTCCGTACCCATGCGCTTCCCTCCACGCGCCATCAGGTGGTGCCGGTGCTCTCAGGCTCCCCCACGGCCTATGCAGCGGACCCAGCAGCGGCTCTCAAGGAGCCCCCCGCGCTGCAGGGCAAGGCGGTGTCGCTGGTGGCGGCCATGCAGGCGCGCAACAACGCGCGCGTCCTCATCTCCGGCTCCCTCGCACTCTTTACAGACAGGTGCCCTTTTTACTGGCATGTGTGTGGCTGACGTTATGTTCCCGGTTGACCTCGCTCCGTGCTCGTCTCGTCCCCTCGCTCGCTCTTTCCTTCCATCCTCCTGCACAACAGCACACTTGTTTCTCCCCTTGGGATGTTGTCTATATAGTTCGCACACTTGCTGGGCTTCACGGCCTCTGGACAGCCCTTCCCCATCTGCCTCGTCTCTCCGCTCCCCTTCCTTCGCCCCTCCGTATTTGCTCCGTATTTGTTCCTTCCCGCGCAGTGGTGGACGTGTCTGCCACCTCCACCGACCCCACATCAACCTTCCCTTCCCTTGCGCCTCCTCTCTTGCTCCCCTCCTCTTCCTTCGCCCCTCCTTATTTCCCCCTCTCAGTTTCTTCCGCGCAGTGGTGGACGTGTCTGCCACCTCCGCCGACCCCGCCTCACAAAACGCCAAAACCTCCCAGTGGCTGTCGCCGGCCGGCAATGAGCAGTTTGTGACGGAGCTCTCCAAGTGGACCTTCCACGAGAGGGGGCACCTCAAGGTGAGACGATAGAGCAGGTGGACCTACTCACCATCCCGCCATCCCACACTCCCCTCACCATCCCATCTGTCCTCACCACTGCTCTTCTCCTCTTCACATCTTTTTGAACCGCTGCTCACCACGCTCTTTCTTCCGTTCCATCCCCCCGCCCCACACCTCTCAGGCTGTGAACCTGCGGCACAACAAGGCTGGCGAGAGCACAGAGCCGGCCGTCTACCGTGTCTCCGACCACCTGGTATGCACCCGCCATGTGCCTGCATGTGCCCGCATGTGCCCGCTTGCTCTGCATCAGTGCGCTGTGTGCCTGCTCGCCTGCCTGCCCGCCTGCCTGCCTGCCTGCTTTCTTGATGTCCGTCAGGATTCTTGCAGGCAGTGGCTGTTTTGTCTTGCTTGCATCCCGCCCCTTTCCCCCCTCAACGCCATTTCGCACGGGTGCACTTATGGTGACTTCTTGCTGGCTCTCTTGCTCCCTGCCAGGAGTCTGCAGGAGTTTTGAGAAGCGGGTAGTGAGTGTGGACACACTCCCTTCTGTTGCCCCATCACCCGTTTCCCTGTCCCTTCACTGCTCCTTTTCCACACTGCTCCGATTCTCCCAATGGCAGGAGTTCACGGTGCACACTTTTGACTGGGTGCCGCCAGTTCGATCGTCTCCATCGTCCTTTCCTTCCTTCCCTGCTCCTTTTCCACATTGCTCCGTTGCTCCCACTGGCAGGAGTTTGCGGAGGACATCTTCTGAGTGGGCAGGCAGTGAGTGAGTGCCATTCTCCTCCCTCATCTTTTCCCCGCTCCGTTCCTGCGCTGTCGACTATTTACTCCCGCTGGCAGAAGTTCGCGGTGGACATCTTTGAATGGGCGGGGGAAAGTGGGTGCCGCCAGTTCTTCTCCCTCATCCTTTTCCCGTCCTTTCGCCACTCCTCCTCTGCGTTGCTCCCATGCTCCTGATGGCAGGAGTTCGCAGTGGACATCTTTGAGTGGGCGGGCAGCGAGTGGGTGCCGTTCAATCCTGTCTTCTGCATCATCCTTTCCTTGTCTTTTCTCACTCATCTCCCCGTTGCTCCCTTACTCACTCACACTGGCAGGAGTTCGCAGTTGACATCTTTGAGTGGGCGGGCAGCGAGTGGGTGCCATTCAAGGGCGACGATGTGCAAGTGCAGTTCTACATGATGAGCCCCTACGTGCTCAAGACACTCTCGCACGATGACAAGGTGAGTGAGACGCAGATGCATGTCCATGCCTCAGCACAGTCATACGCAATCAGCCCCTACGCGCTCAAGACACTCTCGCACGATGACAAGGTGGGATGCATGTCCCTTCACACTTGCTCCGAAGCGCCAAACACGTGGAGACACACCTGCGAGGGCAACTGACAGTCTACAGTTTGCAACCACATGCTCATTCACCCCGTCTGTTCTCCCTCTCCCACCCTCCTTTCTCCTCCTCTACAAGCAGCAAACTATCGTCCATCTCATCATCCCAACCTCCCCTCTCCTCGCACCAGCCCTCCCCCCCTCTCCCCCTTCCCCCTCCCTAGGGTATCGTCTCAACCCCGTCCAAGCGGCTGACGCCAACAGAGTCTGCCAGCTTAACCTTTTCTCCTCTCCTCCCTTTCCTGTACCCCCCCTCCCCCCACCAGGGTCGCTTCTTCACGGCCTTCCAGGTGCCGGACATGTACGGGGTGTTTCAGTTCAAGGTGGAGCACGAGCGCCTGGGCTACTCCACCATCTCACAGTCTCTTATGACTTTCCAAGTGCCTGGCGCCAATGATGTTATCCTCTCCTTCCTCTCCCGTACCAACCCCCCCCCCCCCCCCCACCCTCCCCCCTCAGGGTCGCTTCTTCACATCCTTCCAGGTGCCGGACGTGTACGGCGTGTTTCAGTTCAAGGTGGAGCACAAGCGCCTGGGCTACTCCACCATCTCCCTCGCTAAGCAGGTGAGCACTCTCAGGCACACACAAGCGCCTGGGCTACTCCACCATCTCGCTCGCCAAGCAGGTGCGTCGTCTTGGTGTGCTCACAGAGAAGCAGCTGAGTGCCTGCAAGAAGCACCACCCTGGTTGAGATGAGACGACTCAAAGACGGCCTTCCAGGTGCCGGGCCGGATGTGTACGGGGTGTTTCAGTTCAAGGCGGAGCACAAGCGCCTGGGCTACTCCACCATCTCGCGCGCCAAGCAGGTGAGCACTCTCAGTAAGCACCACTGTGCGTGGTTGGTGGGAATAGACACAGGTGGTTGTCTTGGCTACTCCACCATCTCGCTCGCTAAGCAGGTCAGCGCTTCCAGCAGCCCCGCTTTTGATGGTTGGTTGCCTTGCGAACATACAAGCAGCTGGTTGGATGTTGCCACTGCACGACCTTGCTTGTGAAGCAGGTGTGGCGCAGCAACCTTCCTCGTGTCTCTGGTGCCTGCTGTTTCTTTCTCGTCCCTCGCCGACACATACCGGAATCATTTTGCCTCGCAGTTAGTCGCTGCTCCTAGTCGCCCAACCCCGTCCATTTCCCTCAAATCCTCTCAGCGTCAAGCCTTTGACAGTCATCTCTGCTTCCAATTCCTCCTCACCTCACCTCACCGCACCTCACTTCACCCCACCTATCATCTTCCCACAGATCCCCGTGCGCCCCTTCCGCCATGACGAGTTTGAGCGCTTCATCCCGGCAATGCTACTCCACCATCTCCCTCCCTCCAGCATCTCTCACCTCACCGCACCTCACTGCACCCCACCTGTCCTCTCCCACAGATCCCCGTGCGCCCTTTCCGCCATGACGAGTTTGAGCGCTTCATCCCGGCAATGCTACTCCACCATCTCCCTCCCTCCAGCATCTCTCACCTCACCGCACCTCACTGCACCCCACCTGTCCTCTCCCACAGATCCCCGTGCGCCCTTTCCGCCACGATGAGTTTGAGCGCTTCATCCCGGCCGCCTTCCCCTACTACGCCTCCACCTTCTCCATGGTATGCCGCCTCTGCCTGTCCATGGTTTTCCCTTTTTCTCCATGGTATGCCTCCACCTTCTCCATGGTATGCCTCCACCTTCTCCATGGTATGCCTCCACCTTCTCCATGGTATGCCTCTACCTTCTCCATGGTATGCCTCTACCTTCTCCATGGTATGCCTCTACCTTCTCCATGGTATGCCTCTACCTTCTCCATGGTATGCCTCTACCTTCTCCATGGTATGCCTCTACCTTCTCCATGGTATGCCTCTACCTTCTCGTTTTCCATGCTACGGCCACAGTGCTGCTGGGTGGGCTGTGGAAAGGGGGGGAAAATGGGGGGGGGGGGTGGAAAGAAGTGAATGGCGGGCGAACTGAGACGGAGGGGATGGATGCGGGGTGGAATGCCTCCCTTGATCCACGCTATGCCTCCCTTGATCCACGCTATGCCTCCCTTGATCCACGCTATGCCTCCCTTGATCCACGCTATGCCTCCCTTGATCCACGCTATGCCTCCCTTGATCCACGTTATGCCTCCCTTGATCCACGTTATGCCTCCCTTGATCCACGTTATGCCTCCCTTTTGTGAAGATTGTGAATTGAACAAGTAATTAGATTAGAGGAACAACCTAGCATACATAGTTGGAAGGGAAGGTTGGAAGGGAAGGATGAAAGTGACCATAGGTTGGGTTGACCTCACTTGGGGAAGTGAGGGAACCATAGGTCAAGTGGGTTGGGTTGCCCACACTTTGTAGAAGTGAGGCAACCCTAGGCCCACTTGGCTTGGGGTAACCTCAATTGTGGGAAGTGAGGTACCCACAAGTCAAGAGGGTTGCATTTGGGGGCTCCACCACAATTGGGTGGATTGGCACCCCAAAGTGCAAGACTACACCCAAAGTTGGGTGTAGTCCCAACCCAACTGTACACCACAATTGGTGTACAGTCACATGTGTTGGCATGCTACACAATATATATTTTAACACCTTTATCCATGTTATGCCTCAACCTTCTTTATGGTGTGCCTTTCCTTGTCTACCAATTGGTCTCCTATCTCCATCATAGGGCTCATCTCTCCATCATATGGCTCATCTCTCCATCTAATATTTGATAACCTTCAACTTCCCACCTGTCCTTTTTGCACACTTTTCCCTCCCTCCCATACATGCTGCAGTGTAGCAATGCTCCATTTTCCTTTACCATGCTTGTCATTCCTCCCTTGATCATCCTCCATCACTTTTACCCCACCACCACTCTGTTCATCTCTACCCCATATGCTCTCGCTAACCATGCTCTTCCATCCCTCCCTCTTGTGCCAATTTTTTTTTTTTCAACCACCAGATGATTGCGTTCTTTGTCATTGGCTTTGTCTTCCTCTACCACAAGTAAAACTGCCGAAGCCTTTTCGTCGCTGCCGGAAGAGTGCTTGCTAGGATTCCGGAACATCTCTTTACTTGCCAATTGTGCCTTGATATACTCAAAGGCTTAGTCCCTAAAAGGCTGACATGTAATTGGGCTGTTATGCAGTCGCAGTGTTAGGATTTTGTGTATCCTGTAAGTCTGTTGAGTGGGCTACATAAACACTCACTGATAACATAATCATTTGCTCACAGAAGTTTCGGTTACCAATTCACTTCAAAACGAAATATAGAATAGTGAACCCCGTCCCAGCTTGAAAGGGTCTTGCGGAAGTGGGTTTGCAAAGCACTGTTTCAAACATTTCGTGTGTGCAGATCGAACCCACCCGATTGGTTCCCGCCAGAAACGAAAAAATTGGGCCTTACTATTAGAATAGTAGCTAAGAAGCTAGGGTTTAGGAAGAGAGAGGTGGCCAAAGGAGAGAGCTTGCACTATAGAATGCAATACAACTTATAGGAAACGAGGGAGGCGGTGAAGGGAGGTAGACCACCTAAGACAAGATAGGTGATACTACACTAACTAACTAAACATGCAATTATATACCGTCTAACCCCGGATATAAGCGCCAGGGCGCTTATAATAAAATCGGTTTTTTTGGGGGTGGCGCTTGTAATTGAATAACGGCCATAAGCGCCGGCGCTTATATCATGGTAAAAATGAATTTGCTTTTTTTTTTAGTATCAAATCGAAGCCCGTAATAAGGCGAACAAGATTGTGTAACGTGCGCGTGGCGTCATGCATGAAAACCCGCCGAAAACTGCCGCGCTTCGGTTTCCAGCCGCACAAAGCCCGTCCAGGAGCAGCGCACCTGCCAGCGCTGACGTGAAAGTTGCCTTGCGGCCCAATCAGGTTTCCATGCGCTGGGTGGCAGCTGCAATTCACCCGAACCATCTAGAAGCGGCTGGAATGCCCTGCCAGCGCAGCATCGTGCGTGGCGCGATACCCTCCTCTCCGGGTTCAGACAGGGGACACCCGTCTCTCCACGACGAGGACCCCGTGGCGCTAGCCAGAAGGGGTCCCTTTGAATCCTTCATTTGTTCATCCATTCTTTCAGTTTCCCGTTCTTGGTTCTTGGTCACTCTCGCCATGCTGCGGAAGCCATGGCGGAATTCAGCGGCACGCACTCCTTGTTCAAGAAAAAGCCTACGCGCAGGCCCGCGTTTAGAGTAGACGCAGACGGGTGGTACTCCCGTATCCCACCATCACCACCAGAGCCACCACAGCCTCCTGCGCCTCCTGCGCCTCCTGCTCCTCCTACGCCTCCTGCACCTCCTGAGCCTCCTGTTCCTCCTGTTCCTCCGTGTACTCAGTGTCCTGTGCCTCCGCTACACGCTGGAGCTGAGCCCGTGCTCACGCTGCTGCTCCCATCGGCGTTTGACGAATACCTCTCCGAACCGGAGTCTAACAAGGCGCAAGATGAGGAGGTCGAAGTGGAGTACGTGCCTGGTTCACGGTGGGGACAGCCTGACGATTGCTCGTGGGACGAATCTGCAGTCGGCGCCGACGACGATGTTGCTGAGGAAGCTGACGCTGACGCTGAGGAAGCGAGCGGCGCTTACGGCGGCGAGGGTGGCACGGAGGCGAGAGCCGGGGGCGGCGCCGAGGGCGGCTCCGCTGAAGATGTTTTTCCAGAAGGCGTTCCCGGCGACGATGCTGACGACGGCGTGGATTACTGGTCTCGCGACGGGCTTCCCGAGACCTTGCCGATACCTTCCTATCCCCCGATCAATCGCAAGCGACCCCACCCCTCTTCCCAGAACCGTGATGCCCGCCCCCCCTCTCCCAGGCACAAGCTCACCGACCACAAGAGGCAAGGTTACACCGCCGCGGAGAAGTTGAAGTGGGTTGCCAAGCTTGATGTGGCGGTGTCGGTGCGCTCCTTGGCTCGCGAGAGCGGAATCCACCCCAAGTGCCTCACCAACTGGAAGCGGGCGGCGCAGTTCCTCAAGGACGTGCACTCCACTCGGATGCGCATGCACGGCCGCGGGCGAGCGTCGTGGTACCGGCCTATGGAGTTGAAGGTGTACGAGAAACTTCTCGAGTGGCGCCGCAAGGGAACCGCCGTATCAGTCGGCCGCCTGCAGGAGTGGTCGCGGGAGTACATGAGGCTGCTGTACCCAGACAAGCCATGGAAAGGAAGCCAGAGGTGGTCGCAGCGCTTTCGGCGTCGATGGAATCTGAGCGTCCGCATGAAGACCCGGGTTGCCCAGAAAACCGCCGCGCGTAAGAGTTACCCCGTGTGCTTTGCCCTGTGGTTTTTTAATTGTTGTACTAACACCCGCCATCTATGTCCGTCCTCCCTTCCACCGCCCTTCAGATGTCGCCGAGCAGTGCCAGAGCTTCTAAAAGTTCGTGCGTGCCAATGCGTCGTGTGTGCGGCATCGACACCGCGTGGATCATCAACGCGGACCAGACGCCGCTCTGGCTGGAGATGCCCGCCACCACCACCGTGGATGAAAGTGGTGTTCGCTCGGTGCCTATCAGGAGCGCAGGGTATTAGAAGCAGCGTGTGACCGTGATGTTGGCGTGCACGGCGGACGGATTGAAGCTGAAGCCGTGGGTGTACTTCGAGCGCAAGACCGTGCCTAAGGGCAATTTCCCACCCGGTAAGTCAGTAGGTGCACTGCTCGTTAACTGTGGTCTGTTCCGACTGCGAATTCTAACTGCTCGTACATGTTTCCTGCAGATGTGGTCGTGGCTGCACACGAGAACGGGTGGATGGACTCCGCGGGTGTCGTTCGCTGGCTTGAGGAGGGCGTCAAGCCTTTCTTGAAGCCCAAGTTCGGCAGACACGCCAAGAGCTCGATGCTGGTCCTTGACTCTTACCGCGGTCACCTCACCCAGGAAGTGAAGGACAAGCTCCGCGAGATGAACTGCGTGCCGGCAATCATCCCGTCGGGCTGTAGGGCGGAGGTACAGCCGCTCGATGTCTCCATCAACAAGAGCTTTAAAGCGTCGGTCCGCCAGCAGTACCAGAGGTGGTTTGAGGCAGAAGGTCAAGAGCAGCTGACGGCAGCAGGTATGGAATGAGCACGGTATTGTTGTTGGACTAACGGGTTTCCACCGTTCTCCCGTAATGTTTCAGGGAACTTGAAGAAGCCTCCGGTGGAGGTCGTCCTGAGGTGGATATCTCAGGCCTGGAAGTCAGTGCCGGCCGAGCTGATAAAGCGATCCTTCCTCACCTGTGGCATCAGCAACGCGCTAGACGGCAGTGAGGACGGCCTCGCCATGGCGCACAGGCGGAGCCAGCTTAACGCGGAAGTGGATGTCGACGATGACATCATCGCTGACGGGTTTTTTGGCAACAACTGCCAGGAGCCCGAATCTGACGATGAGGAGACTTGTTAGGTAGAAGTACCCCGGCTAGACTTGCTGTTTCGGATCTCTGATGTTGTAGCTGCTGTCTAGAAGTGTCATGTAAGTGATTTCAATGTAATAGTTTCTTAAAAAGTTAAAGGGTGGCGCTTATAAAAAGTACAGAAATCTCAGGGGGGGCGCTTCTAATCGAGGTCCGGCCATAAGCGCCATGCTCCAGATAGAGGCGCCGGCGCCTATAATTGGACGGCGCCTATATCCGGGGCGATACGGTAAGAATATTACATTCTGACACTTACACACTGTCACTGACTGCAGAATGTCAATTTCAATCATGGTTCTAAAGAGTAGCTCTTTGTGATGTGGTTCCAATCATGTGAAGAACAGATGAATTCACGCAATGACAACGTGGCTCATCGACTCCAGAGTGCCCAATGAAAACGGCATACGATCGAGGGCTTGTCAGGCGCCGGCCAGAGCTTGCCCTTTCTGGAAAGGATCCCGCCACAGAGGCAAAGAGATGCCCTACTCCTGCAGCGGGCGGAACCCTGGTTGCGACCGAGCTGGGTTCTCGAGCGAGGGTTTCAAACGAGCTTCAACCTAAGCTTTCAAATTAAGTGCGTTGCTGAACACCGGTGCTGCCACAG